CTCTGTCAAATAAACAAAATCTTTAAAAAAAAAAAAAAGACTGAAATCATATCAAGCACTTTTTCCAACTACAGTGGTATGAACTAGAACTCAATTACAAGAAAACAACTGGAAAGAACACAAATACATGGAGGCTAAACAACATGCTACTAAACCAATAAGTCAACAAAGGAATCACAGAGGAAATTAAAAAAAAAAAAAATACATGGACACTGAAAATGAAAACACAAAGATCCAAAATCTTTGGGCTGCAGTGAAAGCAGTTTTAAGAGGGAAATTTATATCAACACAGGCCTACCTCAAGAAACAAAAAAATCTCAAACAATCTAACCTAATACCTGAAGGAACTAGAAAAAGAACAAAGCCCACAGTAGAAGGAAGGAAATAATAAAGACCAGAGCAGAAATAAATGAGAGAGACTAAAAGAATACAATAGAAAAGATCAGTGAAACCAAGAGGTGGTTCTTTGAAAAGACAAACATTCTCAGACCTTTAGCAGACTCATCAATTAAAAAAAAGAGAGAGAGAACCCAATGAAAAATGGAAGAGGAGAAGTAACAACTGACATCACTAAGACTACTACAAAAAAATTATAGGATAACAAGTAGGACAACCTAGAAGAAATGGATAAATTCCTAGAAACATGTTCTTCCAGGGGCGCCTGGGTGGCTCAGTCGTTAAGCGTCTGCCTTCGGCTCAGGTCATGATCCCAGGGTCCTGGGATCGAGCCCCGCATTGGGCTCCCTGCTCAGCGGGGAGCCTGCCTCTCACTCTCCCACTCCCCCTGCTTGTGTTTCCCTCTCTTGCTGTGTCTCTGTCAAATAAAAAAAAAAAACAAAAAATCTGAAACATGTTCTTCCAAAACTGAAGAAGAAAGAAAATCTGAACAAATTACTAGTAACAAAATTGAATTGGTAATTCAAAACAAAACAAAACCTCCTAAAAATGAAAAGTCCAGGACCAGATGGATTCATGGGTAAGTTCTATAAAACATTTAAAAAAGAGTTAATGCCTAGTCTCCTAGTCTCCTCAAACTACTCCAAAAAATTGAAGAGGAAAAAAAACAGTTCTAAATACATTCTATGAAGCCAACATTATCCTGATACCAAAACTAGACAGATACTATGAAAAAAGAAACTACCAGCCAATATCCCTGTTGAACATAGATGCAGAAATCCTCAACAAAATATTAGCAAACTGCATTCAACAATAGATTGAAAGGATCATTCACCACAAGCAAATGGGATTTATTCTAAGGATGCAAGAGTGGTTCAATATCCACAAATCAATCAACATGATACAGTACATTAACAAAGTAAAGAATAAAAATATCTCAATAGAGGCAAAAAAAGCATTTGACAAAATTCAACATCTGTTCATAATAAAAAAAATTCCCAAATGGGTTTTGAGGGATTAGATCTCAACATAAAGAGACCATATCTGACACACCCACAGCTAACATCATAATATTGAAAAACAGAGCTTTTCCTTTAAGATCAGGAACAAGAAAAGAAAAATAAAAGGCATCCAAATTGGCAAGGAAGAAGTAAAACTGTCACTATTTATAGATGACATGATACTATACATAGAAAGTCCTAAAGACTCCATCAAAAAACTATTAGAAGTAGTAAATGAATTTAGTAAAGCTATAGGATACAAATTATACAGAAATCTGTTGAGCTTCTACACATTAATAACAAAGGAGGAAAAAGAGAAAGTAAAAACAATTTACAATTGCACCAGAAAACCACCAAATACCAGGAATAAACTTAACCAAGGAGGTGAAAGACCTCTACTCTGAAAACTATAAAACATTGATGAAATAAATTGAACATAAATAGATGTTCCATGTTCATGGGTTGAAAGAATTAATATTGTTAAAATGTCCATACCACCCAAAGCAATCTACAAATTCAGTGCAATCCCTATCAAAAATACCAACGGCATTCTTCAGAGAACTGGTACAAATAACACTAAAATTTGTATGGAACCAAAAAAGACCTTGAATAACAAATGCAATCTTGAGAAACAAAAAGCTGGAGGTATCACAATCCCAGATTTTAAGATATACTACAAAGCAATAATCAACACAATATGGTATTGGCATAAAAATAGACCAATAGATCAATGGAACAAATTAGAGATTGCATAAATAAATCTACCCTTATATGATCAATTAATCTATGACAGGAGGCAAAAATATACAGTGGAGAAAAGCAGTCTCTTCAATAAATGGTGCTGGGAAAACTGGACAGCTTCATGCAAAAGAATGAAACTGGCCACTTTCTTACACCATACACAAAAATAAACTAAAAATGGATTAAAGACCTAAATGTGAGACCTGAAACCACAAGTATCCTAAAAGAAAATAGAGGCAGTAATCTCTTTTATATAGGCCTTAGCAAAATGTTTATAGATGTCAACTAAGGCAAGGGAAACAAAGGCAAAAATAAACTTTTGGGACTACATCAAAATAAAAAGCTTTTGCACAGTGATGGAAACCATCAACATGACAAAAGAGCAACCTACTGAATGGGAGAAAATGTTTGCAAATGATATATCCAATAAGAAGTTAATATCTAAAATATATAAAGAACTTGTACAACTCAAAAAGAAAATCCAAATAAAAAATGGGCAGAGGACCTGAATAGACATTTTTCCAAAAAAAAACATACAGATGGCCAACAGACACATGAAAAGATGATCAACATCACTATCCATCAGGAAAATGCAAATCAAAACCACAATGAGATATCATCTACACCTGCTAGAATGGCCAAAATTAAAAAGACCAGAAATAACAAGCATTGGCTAGAATGTGGAGAAAAGAGAAACCTTGTGCAATGTTGGTGGGAATGTAATTTGGTGAAGCCACTGTGGAAAATAGTATGGAAGTTCCTCAAAAGAACAGAAATATCATATGATTCAGTAATTCCATTACGAGGTATATAGCAAAAAAACCCAAAAACATTAACTTAAAAAGACATGCACCCCTATGTTTATTGCAGAATTATTTACAATAGCCAAAATATGGAAGGAATCTAAGTGTGCATTGATTGATGAATGGATAAAGATATACTCACACATACAATGGAATATTACTCTGCTATTAGATCAGATCTTACAGTTTGCAACAACATGGATGGACCTAGAAGGTCTTATATTAAGTAAAATAAGTCAGAAAGACAAATACTATATGACTTAACTTATATAGAATCTAAAAAGCAAAACAAAGAAACAGATCTATGAATATAGGAGAACAAACTGGTAGTTGCCAGAGGGGAGGTGGGTAGGGGTTAGACAAAATGGGTGAAGGGGAATGGGAGGTATAGACTTCTAATTAGGGAATGAAAAAGTCACAGGGATGAAAGGTATTATGTACCTATATTTTGCAAATGTCAACACATTCTCCCTGCTCTTTTAACTATGAAAACAGTTGACAATGTAATTCTGAACTCCTATCATGCCATTCCTCTGCTCAAAATATATGTATCAGCTACCAAGGTTTCGTGGTGATTGGAGGATGGCATCCCAACCAATTTTCGATAAACAACTGGCAAACTCCATTTAAAGCTTCTGGCACCAAACAGCCTTAATATTCCTGATAGATGAGAGTGCTCTCCTCACTGTCCCATGAGAATGGAAAGTAACAGAAAAGAGAAATCCTGCAAAAGGAGAACATTTTCATACTAAGGGCTCAGAAAACCCTGGTGCTGGAATACCTCATGGTTGCGGTGATGGCAGGAGTGGGTAATGAGAAGATCGGGCACTTACTCCTTGTCTTCTCTTGTTGAATCTTGTCCTGTGTGCATTTGTTGTGCCCTAAAAAATATCTATTCTTTAACCTATACACAATGAGTTCTTGTAGAATTGATCCAGAATCTTGGAACAAAGCAGGTGAATCAACTCACATGATATAACATACCCTCATTTCAATGATTGGGACATACAAGTTGATCAATAAATACGATTATAGTTAATATTTATTGAATGCTTCATAGAATTTTTATGTAGTACCTCATTTGATTCTTGTAACAATCTTTTGAATTGGGTACTACTGTTTTCATCCTGCTTTTTCTAGCTTTATAGTCAATAAAACTTTATAGTCAATTTAGTCAATAAATCTCATATGTAATTATTGGTGTGTGTATGTGTACATTAGCCATAGTAAAAGTTAGACAATTAGATAGTCTGGATTTGGGTGGCTCTGTATTTGAAATCAACATCATGAAGCTTTCCATGTTACTATTATTTAGAAAGGTGGTTGGGGGAAGAGGTGAAAAGATGTTGTTTCACTCAGTTGTTAAGCATCTGCCTTTGGCTCAGGTCATGATCCCAGCGAGGCCCGCATGAGGCTCCCTGCTCCGCAGGAAGCCTGCTTCTCCCTCTCCCACTCCCCCTGCTTGTGTTCCTGCTCTCGCTGTGTCTATCGCTGTCAAATAAATAAATAAAAATCTTTAAAAAAATATTTCTTTTGGAGATATCAGGAAACAGACTGGATTTGAGAGTGACAAAGCTAATCAGACTACCAATGACAAAGCTGTTACAGTATTATGTTTGAAAGAACTGATGTTTAAAAAAATGTGTAGAAGGTAATATTGGCAGGGTTTTACATTTGATTACACAAGTAAATTTTAAGTTAAAAGGAGGAGTCAAAATGACTCTGAGGTGTCTTTGGAAGTTGGATACAGTATCTGTGATAAAGGAGAAGGATTGTAGTTAGGGAAATGATTGTTATTTCAAATATAGACAGAGTCTGGGATGCTCTGATGACAAAATCAAGTGGCAAGTAGTAACTAGTAGTAGGGTTGGGTCTACATGTTCTCTGCTAAAATAAAAAGTCAGAGTTCACCAGCCCTAATAGGTGGGTGCAAATCAAACACCATACACTTTCAGGCTAAACACCTATCAAATAAAATTATGCAACTATATGTGCAGATATTCATCAAATTCATTAAAATCTATTAAGCATAACTCCTTTTCATCTATCTCTTCTTTAGGAACAGTCACGCTATTAGGACGACCATATATGAATCCAGTAGCTATGGCAACTTCTTCTAGAACACTACTGGGACCACTGCTGTGAAAATCAGAATCTGTAATTATTCTGGTGCGTGTGCGCTTTGTGGTGAAACAACATCTCCTCCAGGGGTGCCTGGGTGGCTTGGTCGGTTAAGCATCTGCCTTTGACTCCAGTCATGATCCCAGAGTCCTGGGATCAAGTCCTGCATCGGGCTCCCTGCTCAGCGGGAAGCTTGCTTCTCCCTCTCCCACACCCTCTACCTGTGTTCCCTCTCTTGCTGTGTCTCTGTCAAATAAATAAATAAAATCTTTAAAAAAACAAAAAAACAACATCTCCTCCACCCCCACCTTACCACACAACTTTAAAGTTTGGTCATTTTGGTCACTTTTATTAGTTGAAAATGTTTTTCACTCCCTATGATACTTATGTATATTTAAATTCACATTTGCTATGTATTTATTTTACAGGGTCATTCTTAGAAAGCAATTTCATTACCACTTTTTTTAGTTCTTGAACCATGTGTGTGAGGATGGGAGAGGATATTTAAATGCAGTCTTCAACTGCTAAGATCAGTGTTAACAAATTATTGCTTCAGAGACAACTAGATATAATAATTTAGCACACAGAATAAAGCTTTGGGATAGGAATGAGAATTTTTAAAGATATGTATTCTAGACAGGTGATATCAGTAAAATGGAAGACTAGAAGGTGCTGATACTCATCTCTCCCCCAAAATAAAAAACTATAAAGTAGAAAGCTTTGGAATATGGGGCTCCTGGGTGGCTCAGTTGGTTAAGCGCCTGCCTTTGGCTCAGGTCATGATCTCAGGATCCTGGGATAGAGCCCCACATCAGGCTCCCTGCTCAGTGGGGAGTCTGCTTCTCCCTGTGCCCCTCCCCTTCCCCCTGCTTGTGCTCTCTCTCACCTATGTGCTCTCACTGTCTCTCAAATAAATACATAAAATCTTAAAAAAAAAAAAAAAGCTTTTGGAATACAAAGAAAAAGCAGTAAAACCCCTTCAGAGTTCATGAGTTAAAGATGGTCACATAGGAAAATACAGAAAATGTATTACTTGCATTGCCCCAATTTGCAGTCAAGAGCAGCTTGACATCAGGTGATATCCCCTCAGAGGAATTTTCAGTCTATAATGAAAAGGAGAGAAAAATCCCAGCAAGGCTTACCACTGTGAGTGTTTGCAGCCTTTGTTAGGGAGGTATCCCATCAAGGGTGATCTCAGTTTATGTAGCTGCTCCAGAGTACCTCTCAATGCATCTCCTCCTCAGGGCTGGAGCTGTTACTACAGTAAAATCTACCCTAAGAAGCCCCAGTAACTGTTGTGTCCCACTGTCTGGGATAAAAATGCCATACCACCTTGCCATGGATCCGAGGTGGTAGGTCTGACCTGTCACTGCAGAGGCCAGACTGCCCTACCCTGAGTCCCACACCCCTGATCACAGGTCATGGTTCTGAATCATCATTTCTGAGGCTCTGCTATTGCCATGAGTTCCACCACAGGGGTCCCATGTCATGGCTCCAGTCCTCACTGTTGTGGCCATGCCGTGACTGCTCTGAGGCTAGTTCTCAAGGTTCTGATAGTTTTAGCAGACCACCATCAGAGTCATCCTGTGACTGCTCTCTTGGGTCAGAGTTAAAACAAGATGTGCTGCTACTATATCCTGGGCCCAAGCCACTGCTGCACTTTGTTATCCCAGGACTCACAGCATTGTTGCTCCATCATTCCCCTGAAGCAACTGTGGCAAGCCTGAGACCCAGGTCCTAGTTCCATGAAGGATCTGCATACACCCACATCTTAGACCCCAGTGCAACAGCTGCAGTGACTCGGGACCCAGGAGCTGGGTAGTCCTGTATGCACTTAATCCAAGACCCAGGCTTCACTACTAGGTCAATGTCAGCAAGTCAGATCAAGTGCTGAGGAGGGTCTCCTTGGCTAGAACTTTCTTCCATGGGCTAAAAAGGAGATCCGGAGGACCCTAGCTCTTTCTCCAAAGATCTCAAAGTCCTACCTTCCAATGCTACCCACAAGACCTCTGCAGTCTCAGCCACAAAAGTCCCCACAGACTATCCCAACACTGATCTCAGCTAACAGAGCTGCACAGAAACTGTGCTACTGTGTCCTCCCAGAAACCAAACACATTGTATCACACCCAGTCAGCAGACTTGCAATCACTGTCAGATGAAAATCCCACTGAATCTAGCCTGAAAGGCTGGAAGAGGAGACTGCCCTCAGATGAGCAGGCATTAGTGCAAAGCTGTTAGAAACATGAAAAAGCAAAGAAATATAACAGAAACACAGAGAAGCATACTAATTTTCCAGTAACTAACCCCAAAGAAATAGATATTTGTGACTTATCTGAAAACACTCTGAAAAAGAATTCAAAATAATCGTTTTAAGGAAGCTAGATTTGAGAGAATACAGATAGCTCAGAGAACTCAGAAAAACAATACATGGACAAACCAGGAAGCTTAAGAAAGAGATAGAAATCATAAATTCTAGAGAGTAAATGAAAACTGCAACAGAAAATTTCAATAGCAGGCTTAATCAGGAGAAGAATCAGTGAATTGTGAATACAGATCTCTTGATATTATCTAGTCAGAGGAGAATAAAGAAAATGAAAAAGAGTGAAAAAGTCTGTGTGAATTATGGGACACCATTAAGTAAAACAACATCACATTTTGAGAGTGTCAGGAGAAAAGAAGAAAGAGAAAAAGTTTAAAGAAATAATGGCTGAAAATTTCCCAAATCTGGGGAGAGAGATGGCCATTTATGTACACAGACCTCAAAGATCAATCTCCAGACATAGCACAAAAGCATAGTTGGAAAAGTACCTGGAGTATAAGTAAAGGAGATTTATTTACTCATCTCAGATCTGAGAAATATTTCTTGGTCTTGAAAGTAGTGGCCTTGTGTAAAAAAGGTCTTATGGTACCTTGTAGCACAATTCTCCCTGGTCACCAAACCCAGGCACTCCAGGGCTGTCTTCTGTGTGGGCTGCATGCACAATAGTGTTGTGGTGGAGCCACATTTGCCTTCAGCTCAGCTGGCTGCAGTAATCTGCTTTGCCTGCTGTGGGTGCACTGGATGCATTTTGGTTAAGAGGCCTGAGGCCGCCATGGGTTCATAAGTGGGCAGGACTGGCAGTCAAGTCAAGCTGGGTTTCTGCAGTTAGCCTCTCTGCCACAGTTTCAGGTGTACAGAACAGATTCACAGAGAGCTCCTCAGAAGATTAACCCAAGGAGATCTACACCAAGACAAATAATAATTGAAATGCCAAGAAGTAATGATAGAGAATTTTAAAAGCAGCAGAAGAAAAATTACATACAAGGGAAAGCCTGTAAGGCTATCAACTAATATTTCAGCAGAAAACTTGCAGGCCGGGAGGGAGTAGCATGATATATTCAAGTGCTGTAAGTGAAAAACTGTAACCAAAAACACTATACTAAGAAGATAAATCATCCAAAATAGGAGAGATAAAGAGTTTTCCAGACAAATGTTAAAGGAGTTCACCACCATTAAACCAAAATGTTAAAGGGAATTATTAGAGCAGACAGAAAAGGCCATAAGTAGAAGAAAATTATGAAAGAAAAAAAATTCACAAGTAAAAGCAAAAAATATAGTAAGGTAGTAGATTAATCACTTACAAAGCCAGTATGAAGTTTACAAGGCAAAGTAGTAAAATCAATTATATCTACAAAAATCAGTCAAGGGATACACAGAAAAGATGTAAAGTATGAAATTATATACATAAAACATGGAGGGAAAAGTAAAAATTTAGTGCTTTCAGAATATTGGAACTTAAATGATCAACTTAATATAGACTTCTGTACACCTAAGGTGGTATATATGAACCTGATGATAATCACAAACCAAAAACCTATTATAGATTCACAAAAAATAAAGAGTAAGAAATCTAAACATAACACTAAAGAATGCCATCAAACCACAAGGGAAGGGGCACCTTGGTGGCTCAGTCAAGTGTCTGCCTTCGGCTCAGGTCATAATCCCAGGGTCCTGGGATCAAGCTCCACATCGGGCTCCCTACTCAATGGAAGGCCTGCTTCTCCCTCTCCCACTCCCCCTGCTTGTGTTCCCTCTCTCACTGTCTCTCTCTGTCAAATAAATAAATAAAATCTTAAACAAAACAAAACAAAACAAAAAACAAGGGAAGAGAGCAAGAGAACTATAAAAATAATCAGAAAAAAATTAACAAAATAGCAATAAGTACATACCTATCAATAATTTAAATTTGCATGGACTAAATGCTCCAAAAAACAAACATAGGTTGGCTGAATGTATAAAAAAACAAAGCCTATCTACATTGCTACCTTGAAGAGGTTCACTTCAGACCTAAAGACACACACAGACTGGAAGTGAAGTGCTGGAAAAAGATATTCTATGCAAATAGAAGCAAAAAAGAAAAAATGCACTTTAAATATTAAAGAATGTAGCAAGACACAAAGAAGGGCACTACATAATGATAATAGGGTCAATCCAACAAGAGGATATATTAATTGTAAATATCTATGCACCCAACATAAGAGCACCCAAATACATAGACTAAATATGAATACATATAAAGGGGGAAATTGACAGTAATACAATAATAGTAGGGCAATTTAAACCCCACTTACATCAATAGATAGATCATTTAGGCAGAAAAGGAACAAGGAAACTGCTTTGAATGACACATTAGACCAGATGGACCTAACATATATAAGAAATATTTCATCCAAAAAACAGAATAAACTTTCTTTTCAGCTGCACAGGGAACATTCTCTGGGATGTTGTTAGGACACAAAACAAGTCTCAATTTAAGAAAACTGAAATCATATCAAGTACCATTTTCAGTCACAACAGTATAAAACTAGACATCAACTACAAGAAATATCTGGAAAGAAGACAAATACATGGAGGCTAAACAACATGCTACTAAACAATGAATGGGTCAACCAAGATATCAGAATTAAAAAATACATAGAGACAACTGGAAAAAAAAAAAAATGATGGTCCAATATCTTGGGACTTGGCCAAAGCAGTTCTAAGAGGGAAATTTATATCAACACAGGCCTACTTCAAGAAACAAGAAAAATTCAAATATATGACCTAATCTTACAGCTAAAAGAACTAAAAAAAAAAGAAAAAG